TAAAGTAGATCGTGTATGGAAATCGTTATTTGAAGAAAACTTCATTTAAAGTGCGTCAAAGCTTATTTTATCAATATCTGCAACTTAGTTTTTTGGGGGTAAATTCTAATGTATGGGTATTATTGAATTATGTTAAGTTTTAAATACATGACAGTAGTTGGTTTAACTATACTAAGGGGGGTTTGATGTATCTATATTATATAAAACGCTAATACGTATGTATCAATAAAACCGATAATATTTCTTTTCTCACGTTGGCAACAGCTTTCATTTTTAATTGATAGGATTCGGCGCGCAAGAGCACGTAGTGAGCATCATATGGCTAATCTATATTATATAAAACGCTAATACGTTTTAATTGATAGGCTTCGGCGTGCAAGAGCACGTAGTGAGCATCATATTTCTAATCGGGTGAATTCTCACCGAATTATCAAAAAAATTCTCACAAAATTATCTCACGANAAACATTAATACAATTTTCTATGATTGTTTAGAGTGTAATTGTACATAGTTGCAAAATATATTAATTAAAAATATCCAGAGTACATAAAAGTAGAGATTTTAAGCTTCAAAAAGTTCTAAAGCAGAAGCATTTTTGATCATTTTTAAAGAAGTTATGACACTTTGAATTTTGCCATTTTTTTATAAGTTTCTAGGTGTACTGATACTTTTGAGCGGTACTGTATATATCTACAGATGAAAAGCGCTTTAAATAAAAATTAAAGCAGATCGTGTATGGAAATCGTTATTTGAAGAAAACTTCATTTAAAGTGTGTCAAAGCTTATTTTATCAATCTGTGCTACTTAATTTTTTGGGGAAAAATTCTAATGTATGCGTATTATTGAATTATGTTAAGTTTAAAATATATGACAGTAGTTGGTTTAACTATACTAAGGGGGGTTTGATATATTCAATTTAAAACATAGCACAAAACTAAAGTTAAAAAAACGAGAAAAAAACTAACTAAACAGAATTTTTTTAAAAAAACATTTTAAAATTATTCAACAACTGTATAACTATTACAATTAGTGCAACTATTACAATCACAATAACTATTACAACTAATAACAATTTCTAAAAAAATCAAAACTGTTTAAAAAATCAGTAAAAACAAAGTAATTGAAAGAAAAATTTAAAAGGTAATTTAAGGGTAAGCAAAAATTTAATATTCCAAAAAAGTCGAAGTAAGCAAAAATATTTCTTTCTTGCATTTTATATTTAGAAACACACAACATCACCCATTATTTCTTAGTATTGTTGCAAATATAAAATTAAAGAGGAGCTTTCTGGGAAAAAATGCCTTTTTTAAAAATATTTAACTGCGAAATTGATAACAAAGAGTTCATACTATAACATTATATAAAAAGTTCCTAAACTAGATTTAGTTTATATCTCCTAAAAATAATTTTTTTGAGCTTAAGAAAACACAATTGATTCGAAAATTAACCAAAAATAGGCAGTACTAATCATTAAGTCTCGAATTTTTACATTGATTAAACATAGATACATTAAAGAGTAGGTACTCGAAATAAATTCTGGTAAATATCATTACCTGCAACACAAAAAAAAACTCCCTATTTGTGAGTTTTTGCTTCATTCAAAATAAAAGTATTTTCAGGATACATCATTACTAGCTCATTATAAAAACTGCATATGATGCATTATTTCCTCAAGATTGCTTCTATATGCTTTTGTTATTGTTAAAAACGAAAAAAAAGGTGAATTTATGCCCACGAAACTACTTTCTAAGGGAAAACAGTGAAAAGAAATAGCCGGTACCAAAAATAAAAGCTATTAAGAGCTGAAATAATCGATTAACCAAAAAGGCGAAACATTTGGTTTGAAATACATTCAAACCGCTAAAAGATTCTTTGAGAAAAGCATCTGTTTTTTATTGTAATTCTATATTTCCCGAATTAAGGTCCTTAATATTTTTCGAGAAAATGTATAAATTGCTTTTTAACTTTTTTTCGGAGAAAAATACAATGGAATTAAAACAGTGCTAGCATCAATTTAAACTGTTGTACTTAATGTTCACATTGATTTCAAAATGAATAATATACTTTCTAAATAGAATCAAACAATGTGAAAAATGCTTTAAAAGTATAGTAGTCGAAAAAATGAGGAAGTACAAAATACTCTCGTTAATGCTGTAGAAATGTATGATTTTAAAATAAGATATGCTTTCTCAAATTCAATGTGTGGGTGTTAAATAATGTTAACTTATAGAGTATATGTATGCTCCATATTTTCGTCCTTTATAGTGTTTTTGTCAGAAAGGAATTAAAAAATAAAGTATGTAAATTTGTGTACAACAACTAATATTAAAACACGTGAAAAAGGAAATAGCCATTTGAATCTAGAGAAAATTTATTTAGGAAGGTGAGATTAAAAACATTGACTAATCATATTAATTTGTTTCTTAGGATCATTATACAAACCATCTCTGTTAATTCAGACAATCAAACTGGTTTTGTTGTTTCAATTTCTTTTTCTCCATTAAGTGCTTGTCAGATATCAATAGCGTTCTTTCTTTTTTTTAAACTTGCAAAACGTATGTGATTTTTCTCCCTTAAGATTCGAAAAATTATTATATTATGTATTGAGATTGGAAATTATGGAACACATGATATATATTTTTAATGTTTTGCATTTCAGTATATATGCATAGTAAATATACTGTATGCAGTAAATGATGTAATGATTTTATTGTATATTTCATATCAATTATACTTCATCACATCACTTTAATCATATGGATTGGATTATATTATAAGTAATGATACTTGTACTCATTAAAAAATTTATAATCAAATTGCGGTAAGAAGCTCTGGCACTCAGGCTTCTTACCGTAAAATCCATTTTTACGGAACAAGCGCAATTTTTTACGATAAAAAGCACCGTAAAATCACTAAATCACTCTAATTAGATAAATATTACAGTAAAAATTAAGGTTTAATGCACTGTTAGTAATTTCGTGGAAAAAATGGTTAAATGGCGATACATTTAATTGTTATTTTACTGTATTCAAACAAAGCAGTCAAATAACTAAAAATTAGATGATATTGAAACTGTTAACCGTAAGAAAAACCTTTCGCTGACTACTTTAAACTAATAAGGTTAAACAAACAAAATTTTATCGCACCAGCTAGTCCAGATAAATGAAGCCAATCAGTTCCATGCAGATAGATATATCTGAGAGGGGTAATCTCTCATTTTCATGACCGACAGAACGGGGATTTGTTCTCAGCGTTGACACCACAATATTTCCTCTATTCCATACTAGTTGTAAACGGTTTCATAACCATAAGAAAAAAAACTGTTTTTACCATAAATTTTACGGTTCATTGGATGGACAGGCTGCTGCCGGTAATTTTACCTTAATTTTAGAATTTAAATTCCAGCAGTGTGTGCAGCAATATCGTATTATCCATAAAGCAAACACAATATTATTTCTTTTTACCCCGAAGATCACATTGTCTATTTAAAGTGTGTTTTACGTCCCACCTTATGCAGAGTATCCAGGGCAGTTTTTCTGAAAGCGAAAAAAACAGTAGCTACCAGTTAAATGTCTCAGAAATATCAAGATTTATTGCATGTTATAACATAATTGCCTCTTATCTTGGAAAAATTAAGTAGTGGATAATTAGAAGTGGATTGCGTTTTTGTTTTTAAGAAACCATAATTGCGAAACTTTGCACAAGCATATACATTTGCAATAACTGTTGATAAGTTTTCTAAGCATGGATATTTTATCCCTTCCGAAAGCAAGCTAAAACTTAGTGGCTTCAAAGCAGCGCTTTTTTTTTTTNTTTTTTTTTTTTTTTTTTTTTTTTTTTTTTTTTTTTTTTTTTTTTTTGAGGGATAGGGTGCAAATAGATCTGGTAATGTCTTGTTGTGTATGCTACTTTAGTGATAAATAATCTAATTCATGATAGTTATGTAACAATAAGTGAAATACTATTTTTTTTTTAAGATTTCAGTTAAATGTGTATTTTTTCATCATATCTTAGGCATACATGGAAAAACAAATTCTGATGAAATTAATTGAATGTTTAGCAAAGATATTTCTGGCAAAAAAGAATTATGGTAATAAAACCTAAATATATGGTATTTAAACCATTCGTTAAGGGCTTTGATAGCCTGGTCTGTAGGGCATAGCCCCCTGCCTAAGAGATCGCGAGTTCGGTCTCCGCCGACCAAAAACTCCCCGCGTAGTAAAGGGTGACTCGTCCTACCTTAACAAAACTATGGAGGTACTAAATTGGAAATTGCTGGTTCTCTGATTCAGGTCAAAATTACGATCTATGGATGAAAGAATGGGTGTATGAATAGGTCTCCTCTGTAAAATGGGCTGTGACGAGTGTGTGTGGCTGAAACTGTTTCCTAGGACATAGATGGCGCCACTGAAAAACAAGAAACACATCATCAGCCTTAAATTCGCTTGATTTCGCGAAGCAGACTTGCTAGTACATTTGTGTATTGTGCTAAACTTGCTAGTGTATTTGCAAGTGGTATTAGAAACATCAACAAGAAACCATTCATTTGGTAGCTCTTCCGTTCATATGGTAACGGTTTACCAGAAATTCTCGTTTTTAAAATTATGGTTCTTATTACCACAGATTTAGTAAAGAATACAAAACGGGAAAATAAATTTAGCCGAACAAATGGTTAACATGGTTTAAGGTATCTGGATATAAAATCCAAGTTCTACATTATTTACCAAATTTTGAGGCACAATATAAAGCAAAATCCACTTATTAATTTTACCAAAATCATTACCCAAGCGATTCGGTGAAAAAAATTTGTGATTTTCGCTGTTACCATGCATAGGGCGGAAAACACGATACAATTTAATGTATTCTTGTAGTTTTTTTCTTTGTATATCAATCAATATTGATAAATCTTAAGTATATGTCATTATTTGATGTTATACATAATATTACAAGATATCTTGTAGAAGTATCTAAAATAAGATATAATCTCTTTATTTTATTTTTTTCCAGCTGGGAGATCTCCTCGTCAGTTTAATGTATGTTCCCCGTACAAGTGAACTGACCATCGGCATTATCAAGGCCCGGAAACTCAAAGCTAAAGACATCACAGGAGCGTCCGGTAAGTTCCATTTCTTTTGGACATCTAATCAGTTCTCGTTAAGGGGGGCCCCCGTCTCCGCCCTTGTCAACCGGAGGGCCCACTTCCGACAGCAGATGAATCACCTTTATGCTCAACAGCCTGGATCTTTATTTTGTTCTTTAACAGTCGGCCACTCCTGCCCTCAGCTGTCATTAGTGAAAACAATGGTCTTTGCTGGGCATTTAGAAAGAGTCATTTGTTTTGGGTCTTGAAAGGTACTAATTGTTTCATATTTCCGCACACAGATTCATTAGGGTAAAGTAGGCGTAGCGTAAAAGGCGACGTCTAGGTTTCCAGAAGCTTTTCAATAGGCAGGCTCTGGATTTGATGTATAGAAGAGTTTGAAGGTTTTTGTTGTCAATTAAAAACTTTTGAAGGTCGTTTCGTTCATTTAAGGACTGAATAGGAAAAGAAGTGTATTTATATTTAAAACATAAGGTTTAAATTTACCAGATACTAAGAATGGGCAGAAATAAACTTTGATAAATAACTTTGTAATCATTTCTTGAGGAATATATAGATTATATAATAATGTAATAATATTAAAATATAGATATATAGAAAAATATAGATTTTATATCACGCTGAAATATTCTACCAATATACCTTAGTATTTAAAAAAACCAAAGCAATATTTTGTTTAGATGATGAAAAAAGGTACATCGAAAAAGGTAAGTTGTAGCTCAATTGGCTCGACTGACTCCCCTTAAATTTCCTAATATTTCAAAATAAAAACATAATTTTTTAGATAAAGCACGAAAATTCATTTATGTTATTCAACAAAATTTCTATTTTATTTGCACAAAATAAAATCTGAGATTATTTTCTGAAAATATAATTAGTGCAGAAAATTCAACGGTACAATTTTCTTTGACCAGTTTCTAAGCAAGAAATGTGTACTTTATAAACTCTATAAATTAACTTTTGGCTGAATCTATTGAATTCCAGTTAAATGAAATAAATTAGGTTTTGTAAGGGAAGAAAATTAAAGCTTTTATCCATCTCTGTCCATTGGGGAAATTGAACTCACAAATGTTTAATCCTCCTCTGATAATCGATTTCATCCTTTGATCACTTAATCTTTCTGACTCCTTGATTTCCTTGCTGATAACTAATCAAGTAGACAAGCAACTTGGTTAAAAATAAAGAAAATTTATTTCAGTGCTATGGACCCCATTATTTTTTAACAAATTACACCATTTCATGAAGTTTAAAAAGTTGTTTTATTTTTAATGGATTCATTTAACGGATTCATTTTTTTTTCTTTTTGGATTCATTTTCAAAAATTATACACAGAATGTACGCAGTTTTGAAACTTAATGTCCCAATTTTAAAGGTATACTAATACTATTTCATTCATATTGAGATCTGATTCAACGCATTAGATAAATCAAACAAAGCAACTAGATTTACCAAAGCATACCATAAATTCATATTACATTATTTCAATCTAAAAACCTATAACCTTAGAAAATTCATATTTTTAATTTTCATGTGCCTGTTTTAGACTTCAATACAGGTATTTTAAAGGATCTAATTAGTTTTTATTTCGCTGAAAAAGCACGCTAAAAAAACTGACCACTTTGAGTAATTTTTGATCTTAACACTCGGATCCTCACGTTCTAAATCTCAAAATGGTTTGACAGGGAGACCTCAAATTAATTCGTGTAGACCAGTGTTTCCCAAAGTGTGGTACGCGTACCGCCAGGGGTACGGGTACAGTTTAGAGGAGGTATGCTTTCTTATTCGTAATATCTTGCAAACAAATGAAAATTTTAAAAAATTTTATTCAAAAACAAATCTAGCCATGAAAATTTACGATTGCGTATTTTTCTATTGGCTATTTTTTTTGCAGAGTTAACAGTTAATATTTAATGGTGTCAACAGCCAGTTGTGATTCTTAGCTTTAGTGCAATTTTTTTTATAGTAAAAAGTACATTCATTATTTTATTAGTGGTACACAGCGTTACGAAAAATTTAGAAAGGGAATACAAAAGTCATAAGTTTTGGAAACACTGGTGTAGACGATATTATAAATTACGAAATCAGACACAAAAACGTATTTTCTTTCTTTCTTTATATATAAAAAATTGGGCACCTGGGCCGCGCAAAAGGCCCATATCCCATACATCATGAAATAGTATAAAAAGTTAAAATAAAAGACATTTTGAGTTCAGCAGTCTATGGGGTGGCTGTTACAGGGAGACAAGCTCCTTTCTTGTATAACTGAAAGAAAATGAAAATAATAAGAACAACTTGCTGTAATCTGTGGATGGCTGTAGTTTGATTGTCAACGTGAAGTAACATAGGTCAGGATTTCAGTAGTATTGGTAAAGTGTTTGATGCTGTGGACTATTGGTACTTTGGATTATTGATGCAGACCATAGATGCTGGAATTGAAGACTATTATTTGTGCTGATAGTTGTGGTATGAGTCGTCGGAGGTGAAATAAGCGACTATTGGTCTTAGTTTATCGTCTTTTTTACAGTTCTCGAAGTTAAAGATCTGATTGAAGTTGGCTGTGCTGCCTTTTATGGCTTTGTCGTAGAAGTCTGCATTTAATTTGTGTATATATTCGGATAGAAACGGAATTTTGAGATCTTTATGGATATTTGAATTACGTATGAACCATCTGGCACGGGTGATCTTTCTGAGTATTTTATTTGACATTGGTTGAACTTTTTCATTAGGTGTTCGGGTATAATAGTCCAGGCAGGTGAAGCATATGTAAATATAGGTCGGATCATGGAGGTGTATAGTAATTTTATAGTTTTTAGTGAGACGTTTTGGTTATAGATGAGAAGTTGGATGATATTAACTGCTGCTTTGTCTGTTATATTTTTAATGTGGTCGCTCCAAGTGAGTTTACTATTAATTATGAGTCCAAGGTACTTTGCTCTCTTAACTATTGGGATTTGAATGTTGAACAGTTTCGGTTTGCATTGAGGTAAAATTTTAATTCTTCTAAAACGTATTTTCTATGAATAAATATACCTTTTTTTCGATGATTTCTCATTTCTGAAATCTCCAGATTCCTCTATTTCGAACCCCAAAATATAGGGGGTAGTCGCAATCTGGTAAATATGATCCCAATAGTTCCCTGCCTCATGTTATGCATTGGGGATCAGGAGGAGTTGTTTAATAAAATGTATTTTAAAAAAAAGTAGTTTCCTCACAAGAACGCTCCAAAGTTTGGACCCCTTAATGTTAATTTTACTTTTTGTGTATTTCGCTATATCTCAAGAATGTTTGAACGGAATTGAAAAATTTTTGCACAAAATTATAAAGTTCGTTTGTCTAACGATAAATTCAAAACAGATTTTAAATACTATAATAAAAAGATTATCAGCAAAAAAACAGATTTTAAAAAAACATTTATTATTTTTATTACATTATTTAATAATGGTCGACAAAATTTTGAATTATAAAGCATACAATTTTTTGCATCATTTTAAAGGATGTAATTCTACAAAGTAAAATACTAAAATTTGATCGAAATTGGTTGAATAATTCATAAAACATTTAATTTCAAGAATATTATATTTTCAAAATTTGATTTCTCAAGAATTTGCTCAAATTTTTTATTTTGCCTTGTAAAATTATTTTCTTTAAAATGATGAAAAAAATTTTGTACCTTATGATCCTAATTTTGTTAGACCATTATTTATTAAATAAAATAATAAAAAATAATTAATCTTTGCTAAAAGTAATATTTTGCATGGAATTATCTTTAGATAAACGAATTTTATAATTGTACGCCAAAAATTTTCAATTACGTTGAAAATTTTTCGAGATATAACGAAATGCGCAAAAGTAAAATTAACATTAAGAACTTTGAAGCGCTCTCCTGACTAAACTAATGGGACCATATTTCCCAGATTACGGCTACCCCAGAATGCGGCTATTTTGGGTTTCAGAAATCTGATCCCGTCGAAGAAAAGGCATGTTTATTCCAAAAAAATTCGTTTTTATGTGATTTGTCTAATTTCTTAACATGAACTTATTAATTAGCATATTTGAGGTAACCCCTTTGAGACATTTAGATTGAGTCATAGAACGTTAAGATCCTATTATTAGATCAAAAATTATTCAGGGTGCACCATTTTCTGTTTTTTTCTTTTTGGCGCACTGTGCAGTCTTTTTTTTTTTCGTAATTTCTTTAACTTATTCGAAATTTTACTTAGGATTTTAAATTTTTTCCATGAGTTTATTGACACAATCAGGGACATTTTTTTTAAATTCAAGCAATTTTGTGAAACAAATGCAAATAAAATGTTATAATTTTTTCTTTAGAATGTTGAAATTTGAAGACAAAAATGAGATACTTTGACATTTTGCGAAAAATATAAAAGTCATAAATATCATATTAATGATTTGAAGTTTTTACAATTAAATATTCTGAATGTGATATGATTTGAAGTTTAGGCAATTAAATATTCTCTTTTTTAGACCACACTAGCTCAAAGAAATTTAAAAGAAAAATATTTTTTTAATAAAATATAATTTTTCAATAAAATATATTTTTTTAATAAAATATAATTTTTTGAATTTTTAAAAGAATTAAAGAATTCATACTTTAAATCATTTCAGTGTTTTTGCTGTAACTTTGAAAGTTTACATCTTACACTTGGTGCCAAATTGCAGGAAAAAAAGCAGGTCATGATATATTCTTTTCAAAAAATTTAAATTTTTAAAGGGAAAAATCCTCTAGACCATTTACGAATCCCAAAAAGTTCTATATTCTATGATAGCACACGATTACGTAAAATAAATCTCGCAAAATAGTCTGACGTGAATGTTTCAGTGAATTTTTTTATCAGCTGAAAAAAACAGTTTCTGATATTTTGAGCAACTGTGTGTTTTTATATCACACGAGCATTTTCTTGCAATTTTCGGAGAAAAGTGATGATACGATTGCGCTTACGATTTGTTTTCCGGCATTGTTTCTAATAATTTTTATCGTGTGAAATCCGTATAGG